TTTTTTTAAAAAAAAAAAAAAAAAAAAGCACAGAGCTGGAACCTGTTGAAATACAAAGGGAAAAAGAAGATTAATCCAGCTTCCTTCCTCCAGCTCTAAAATCCCATCATCCCACAAGTCTAAATGGGGGACCATGGCTTCCTTGACTGGATCAGTCCACCCATAATGGGGTCCTTTTTACATTTTAATTCTGCTAAACAGGACTGAGAAATGGTAATTGCCACATATTCCTGCCACATAGGACTGACTTTGCAGGGCCTGGAGTGCTTCAGCATTCCTTTGCTGGCCCTCCGTGGCATCTTGGTCCCTCCGTGGCATCCATTTACATGAATGGATGATTTGTGCATGTGCATTGTGCAGCCTTCCTACCATTGCACATGACAGCCTGGTAGTCATCATCTATTTGTCGTAAGGCAGCAAGGGCTCGCGTGTCCATTCCTAAGAGATATTGAGTGCCTCTTGTTGACACTGACAGAGGCACCTTTGATGTTCGGGTGGAACTCCATAAGTGGCTAACAGCAGGAAGGTGGCAACATAAAGGAGTGGATTGGTTTATGTATTTATTTACAGTATTTATATCCCGCCCTTCTCACCCAGAAGGGGACTCAGAGCAGCCTTACCAAAAGGCAGAAATTTGATTCCATAAACATACAAATAAAACATAAGCAGTTGCGTTGAAATCCAAAACAATTAAAACAAGTTAATTTGTTCTCAAGCCATCTGGACCACTGCTTCTTAAAATGTGGATCCCAACCCCAAATGGTGCCCCATAGCCGAATGTTGGGGTCATGAAAAATTTGTCAAAAGTAAAAGCTTTCTGAACGCCCCCCCCCCCACACACACACTTACACAAACCTGTTAGCAACAACATGCTGGGTTTTTCGCAAAAAAATGCTTCAGATGTACTCCACAAAAAGGAATAATCAATCTGTTTAGCAAGCCCAGAAAATGCTGATATATCAGTACATGTCTGGGTTTATATCTATTTTGTATACCTATATAAGGCAAAGGTTTTCCACTGACATTAAGTCCAGTCGTGTCCGACTCTGGGGTTGGTGTTCATCTCCATTTCTAAGCTGAAGAGCTGGCGTTGTCTGTAGACACCTCCAAGGTCATGTGGCTGGCATGACTGCATGGAGCACCGTTACCTTTCCGCTGGAGCTGTACCTATTGATCTACTCACATTTGCATGTTTTCGAACTACTAGGTTGGCAGAAGCTGGGCCTAACAGCGGCACGCCGCTCCATGGATTCAAACCTGTGACCTTTCAATCAACAAGCTCAGCAGCTCAGCACTTTAAATCCACTGTTCCACCAACTGGGATTAAATTTAAAAAATAGTGGATAGAGGTCATGAGTGGAAAAGTTAAAGAAGCCCTGATCTAAACAATAGTCCAAGTTTGGTATGAACACCCTTAATGTGGGCATGCTCTGGAGCACATTCACAACTGGCTAAACTGCCTGGACTAGACAAGCCCAGGGAAAGGCCCGTTGGCCACAGCTCCCTCCGTGTGGCTCGGGCTTCTTGGCCTGCCTCACTTGACCTCTGATTGTCAGAAGCAGCGGCCTCAGCCCTGCTCCCTTTTACATAGTGACCACGTTTGTGGCAGGGGCCATATGGCTGGCTGTGCCTCACCCAGAGCTCAGGCAATGGGGCAAGGGTCACCTGGTCCAATTTGTGTGTGAGAGTGGGCATCTTACCTCGCTTTGATTGACAGTTGAAGTTGCTCATATTGCACAAACTGTGGAGAGTGATTTGAGTTTCGTCCTTGCTTTCTACAAACATGAACATTTCGTAAGGTGGGATCAAAACCTCTTCTTGTTCAGGGAAGATGGAGAAGTTGCTGATTTTGGCTCCGTGACAGGTCTTGATTATGAAGGAAGTGCCCTGCCCAAAGTCCTTTGCAACTTTTTCACTCAGGGATGAAGAAGTAAACTGTCCAAAACGGACAAGGTTATTGGGATCAGAGACAGCGAATCTTACACCTCTCACACCACGAAACACATCGTAGCAACCAGGTTGGGTGGTCTTCAGTGCCTTGATGGCTTTTGTCAGAAGAAAGTGGAAACTCTTGAAATGGAAGGATTGCGTATAGTTATCACTGGATTGTCCACCTTCCCGTACTGCGATGTTGAATTTTTTGTACAAATCACTGGAATTGTCAGTATAAGCAACGATAGCAATCCCATAGTCATCCTTGAAGCCAGAAGGCAGTGCGAGAGAGCCTTTAATCTTCTCCCAGTGGTTGGTTGCATTTTCCCAGACCAAATGATACGTTGTGTTAAAACCATCTGTACTTGTATTCATCAATTTATTCTCCACTGCAGATGAACAGCCGAAGTATTGGTCATCATATGAACCTGGGGCCATGGTCAATGGAATATCCTTGAGGTCCCATAAATCCTGATTTGAGGAAAAAAACAACACAGGAAAGCAGCTAGAGCAATCCAAGGATGAAACATGGGATACCTGTAAATGTGTTTCTTCAAGTGGTCATCTGTGAAATTCACACTTATTATTAATAATAAGAATTCATTTCTATCCCACTTTTTCCCATAGGTGGGACATCAGAAGACATCAGAAGAGCTGCAAGACCAAGAACAAGCCACGAGAGTCAAGATGAAGATCCACCCAGAGGAAAAGTGTTCCTGCCATACATCAAGGGAACCACTGACCGCATAGGGAAGCTGATGAGGAAACACAACATACAAACTATCTACAGACCCACCAAGAAAATCCAACAAATGCTACGTTCAGCAAAAGACAAGAGGGATCCTCTCACTCTGCAGGAGTCTACCGTGTACCATGCAGCTGTGGACAAGTCTACAGAGGGACCACCAAACGCAGCATTGCCCAAACAAGAATCCAGGAACATGAAAGGCACTGCAGACTACTTCAACCAGAGAAGTCAGCCATAGCAGAGCACCTGATGAACCAACCTGGACACAGCATTTTATTTGAGAACACAAAAATGCTGGACCACTCTCACAACCACCATGTCAGACTACACAGAGAAGCCATTGAAATCCACAAACATGTGGACAATTTCAACAGAAAGGAAGAAACCATGAAAATGAACAAAATCTGGCTACCAGTATTAAAAAATTCTAAAATTGCAACAGCAAAAACAGCAGAGAGAAAAACAGGCAGGGACATCTAATCACCCTTCAAGAAGAGTTTGCTCCAGGCACAGTCAGCCCATTGTATGCTAATCAAGGTGGTCAATTGAAAGATTCACACCTAGCCCAACTTACAAAAGCCTTTTGTCTCACCCTGGTCATTCCACAGATATATAAACCCCTTTTTCCCAGCTCCAGCAGACCTCACCTCTGAGGAAGCTTGCCATAGATGCAGGCGAAACGTCAGGAGAAATGCCTCTGGAACATGGCCATATAGCCCGAAAAAACCCACAAGAACTGAGTGATTCTGGCCATGAAAGCCTTCGACAATACTTTGAACCGTCAATTCACCTGTTTGGGGGCCCCCAGCCTTTCAGAGATGAGTCTGTCATCAAAGAAAGGGACAGCTGTGGTTTTGGCAGTTATCTTCTCCAGCAGGAACAAGTCTCCATAAAGTGAATGAACCTTGCCTACTTATTGAAACTAGGCTCCCATATCTCGTACCAAGGACTCCCCCGCCCACCCACCCTTTGTGTTCCCTTCATACCTGGTGGTTTTCTCCAATGTAGGCTCCCATCAAAGCCAGGACCAGAATGGTCAGGTAATGCAGCATCTCAGGATAAAAAGGAAGAAGAAACTCATCAATTGGGGAACATAAAAAGATCCCAATATGGGGTCAAACCAAAGGCTGAGCTGAGCCTTCTATGCTCAGTGATTCAACAGGCTGGTTAGGACTAGATCTGATCTAGGTCAGGATGTTTCCTGAAAACCCTCAAAGAAAGAGTCTCTACCAAACTCCAAAGCCAATACCCATGGATGGGGGAATCAATAGGATATTTGAAAAAGTGTGAATGACAGAAGGTTAGTTTCTCTATTGTCTGCAAAGGATGAGAAGAGGAATACTGGAAATCAGAGTTTTCACACCTTGGGATTATTTCATATGGACATTGTGTAGAAAATAGCATTTGTTGTAAAAGAAACAAATTGCCTGTGCAGAAAACATCATTTTTCTATGGGGAAAATGTTATTTTTGCACATTTTGCACAAAAACGCACATTTTTGCAGAATACAAGTCCAGAGCCTAAATTCCAGATCAAGCCTGGCTAATACTTGGAAGGAGTGCTGTCAAGGAAGACCATGACTGTGGCTCCATTCCACTGGAAGGCAATGGTGGCAACCTCTCTGGGAAAACCCATGAATCACGTTATGCAGAGAGACAGCTTGACGGAAAGCATTGATTGCTCAGAGAAAGTTGCACAAAGATAAAGCACTCTCATGAAGGAAGAATCATAGAATGATAGAATCCTAGAGTTGGAAGAGACCTGATGGGCCATCATCCAGTCCAACCCCATTCTGCCAAGAAGCAGGAATATTGCATTCAAAGCACCCCTGACAGATGGCCACCCAGCCTCTGCACACACACAGCCAAGTGGCTCTCTCTAATTCCTTTGTTCTGCCAGGTGACCAGATCACAGTTGAAGAGAGAGAAGGGCAAGGACAGAAGGCAACAGCAACCTTCACAATGGGCAAGGAAGCACGCTTTAGAGAACTCACTTTTTCCAACTGAAGTGTTCTCAGCCAGGCTTTGCTTTCCTTCTATGCCTTCTCACAGTCTTCAACTCCTTCTTTCTCCTTCTCTCTCCCTCGCTTTTAGTCTATTGAGCCTGAAGCTGCTTTTATAACTCTGTCTTACCACCCAAAGCAAGTTTACTCAGCCACCAAAACTGGAAGCCTATTCTTGGCAGGTATCCTCAGTTATCTCAAATGGTTTAAAGATTAATGTGAATTATTACTACTCTAAACCCATTTACAACTGAAGGCTCCAATGTCGTGGGCCCAGTGGTTTGATTGTATTTCCAAAGTGGAATAGGGGTGTGTGAGATGGCCAAAAAGTGTGATTTTGTGTCCTGTTTTTGGCT